TCTCTAGAAAAGTTATCACTTGGGTGTGGGGCTTGGGTGAATGGGTTTATTGATAACTTTTCTAGAGATCTGTGTCAAAATTTAATGGTGATATTTTGGGGTCTTGCTCACATAAGTGTGGGAGGATCTCATAATATCATCACTCTAAACATTTTCTATTTAATACTTTGCAATCCACACAAGAATCATCACAATAAAAATTTTATTTGGTCGGTTAAATAGATCAAAACTAGCCAGCCTGACAAGTCAAATACAGGTTTTGAATCTAACCTAAGTTTTTGTTTTGGACCAATGTTTTAAAAAACGGATCGGTGACTCAAATCGGTCATACCCATACCTGTGTCGGATCCAGGGAATCAATGGATCGGATCGGAAGAATTGGCAAAAACAATAATTTTTGCCCCAAAATTACTTTAAAAATAATTCAAAAAACAATAATTCATCATTTTTTCTTTTTTCACTTAACTCGATGAAGAATATGTCAGACTCGATGAAGAATCGTTAGAATCAACGGTTCTGCAAAAAAAATCGGCAAAGTTACTATTCTGAATCAACTGAATCCCAATTTTTTACTGAATCCGAGACGGTCATGGCGCTTTTTTATTTGGATTGTCCAGTTCCAGACAAATCATCAATTTTAAGTCATTGGTTTAAACCATACTAGTCAAGAGACTCGAGGCACCGGTCGGTCCAACCAATCAAATTGGCCTGTTGAATCTTGAGAACTGTGAGTCCTAGCTTTGCGTGCCAAGAGCATGATGCCTTGGATTTCATATTTTCATATATAACATTTGGATTGCTGTGCTATTTATTGAAACGGTTGGGGCCCTTGGCTCTCATTATTTTGTCCTCTCATTTTTTTTTCTGAGGTGAACATCCTGCGCTTCTTTTACACGTGTGAATCATCACCACATTCGTAAAGCAGCATGGTTTTGTGACTCATGGCTGCTACACGTGGGTGGCGACAGTCGTCACGTACGTGGACAAAGTGACCGTTTTTGTCAAATTTAAAGCTCCAAATCTACATGAAAATTTTGAAGGTAGATGGTCTAGTATATTATAATATCCATTATTTTTAAAGATTTGAAAAAAAAAAAAATTATATTCATATATCTCGAAGTCAAAATGATTAATTTGTGAGTTTTTCATAATAAAAAAATTAAAATAATTTTTTGAAAAGTACAAAAAAAAAACCATGATCCTTTAACCCAAAAAAGTCATAATTACTCTGACCTTTTAGATTTGAAATAAGTAGTTGTAAACAGGTAATTAACTCATTCAAAAAAAACTTCATATTTCAAGATATTCAATTTGATACGTAATGATTAGGAATAATTGGGACTTTGAGAGAAATATAAGTGGTCTCATAGTATACATTTCCTTTTCTTTTTTCCTTTTTTTATATATTTAATGTTAAGAAGGTAAAGTGGGATGTCATATTGAGGCATCCATCCCACAAAACATCAAACTATTTTTTTTTATGGGTTTTTGATGTGCACATCAGTCCTGACACCTTGTATAAATTCTCTCTCGTTGTAAATTGCATGATTAAATTGTACAAATAGCGGATAAAGAAAGGGGTTTACAATGAATAATAAAAAACAAATAAAGTCTCTCGTCAAAACCTCTGGCTCTCAATAGCATGAAAGTTTTTCTTAGCCCCTGATTATGTAATGCGTTAGCTCCAAAAATAGCATGCCTCTAGCAAATATGTGAAGGGATTAACTACAAAGAGACTATTTATCTTTGGAAAAAGTTTGTATAAACTTGCGACTTTAAAATGTAGAATTAAAGATGCACCTCAAAAATCCATCATAAAAAGTTGTTTGGATGTTGGAAAAACCTCTAATTAATCATATTGACATCGGGATGCATGAATATGAAAAGAAAAAAAGGCTTTTGAGTCCACAAAATAATGTAATCTTGCAATATATTATCTGGACCGTGCATTTTTACGATTTTCAAGTGTTTGTAGATCTACTTCATTTGAATCATTTTTAGAGTTTAAAATTTTATAATTAGATATGAAAATAGATTCTCAAGTCATCTTAAGAATTTTTTATATCAAAATTATATTTATAATAAAATTTAAAGGTGCGCCTTAATTTGATTGTTTAACGCTGCAATCTTATGCAAACCACACCTTTTATCTTTTTCTTCATGGAGGTTGTAATCATTCTCACTCATTCAATATCAAATTGGATGGCTTGGGGTAAGTCACAAAGTTCGAGAATATTTTTTTTTGGAACTTTGTGTCTATTCAATGACACTCATATAACCACCTATTTTTGAAATTTTAGGGACAAAAATGATTGTAACCGCCATGTAGAAAAGATAAATGATCTCTCTTTGTAGACAATTTCATATGTAAATGCTAAAAATTCGATGGTCTATACGACATATGCTTTTTTTAAGGCTATAAATCCATTTATTTTCATATCTATAATGGTCCAGATGGCTTGAAGAATTTTTTAATGCCAAAATTGCAATTTTTGTAACATTTGAAGTGCATAAAGCCAAGCCTAGGCATCATGCTAACCATTTCCTTAAGTAATCCATTACTTTAAAATATGCACTAAGGTTTGGATCAAAGCTAACCTACAAAAAATGAGTTTAAAATTTGTAAGTACGTGTCATAAAGCACCAAATGGGTTGTCAATGAGTATTTTCAACACAAGTAATGTATCTTATATCAGGTTGTTTATTGTGGATGGCAATGAGCCGGGTGGCCCAGCCCGGCCTTAAAAAATTAGGGTTTGGGCTACAAAATGTAGCCCATGGCTAGGCTGGGCCTGAGCCATGGCCATGATAGGGTTGGGTAGGGCCAGCCCAATCATTTTTCCTTTATTTTTTTTTTATTTTTTCAATTAAATTTGGTATTGTCCCATCCTGCCCTGATAGGGCTAGGGCCAAGGCTTCTTTGGCCCTGATAGGGCTGGGCAAGGCTTAGGGCAGCCCTATGGAGAGTGGGACCAAGCTAGAGGCAAGGGTGGCTCAGTCCAAGCCCCACCCGCTGCCAGCCCTATGGGGACTCGGGCCGGGCTAGGGGCAAGGGTGGCCCACCCGTTGCCAACCCTATTCTTGGGCCAGCCCATGGGGTTTCAACTATTATGCTAGTCTAAAATATTTTTAGGTTGGGCTTGGGTCAACACTGGCCTAGTTGCATAACTTTTTTTAAGTACATATATCTTACATGTAGCAAATGAATGTTTCTATATTTACATAGGGTCCAGCCGATTCCTTTGTGACCAGACTGGGCTCAGATCTCATTATCATAAAT